CAGCACATATGTTCATTTGATTAAGGCACTGTACAGTATAATAATTATTAATTTTTTAGCTACTACACTTATGCAGTGCATTATTAACATTGTACAAATTCAGATTGATATGTAAAATATGCAAACATATTGCATATCGAAGGGACAGAGAGCAGTCCAGTTTAAGCCCATTTAACACATCCATTTTATATTGCAAACTATAAAAGCATATGTACTATAAAACCATGTAACTATAAAATGGGAATGCTGTTTGAACTATAAAAAAAGACTCTTCATGCTTATGGTCTTAGCAACAGCTGGGCACGGTTCAGAATCTCAGCCTGGATCTGAGGGTAATCAGGATGTTCCAGCAGAACCTGAGGAAACAAAAACACAGTCTCTATACAAGGGTTTTTATACTTAAGCCTCCCTGCAAACTACCGCTGACACAGTCTGCACCCAAACTTTACAAATGACATAATGTGAAGATACATAAAGAGATAAGCACCTCTGCTGAGTGGTCACAGAGATAAAAACAACATACTGCAATACAAACACTATTTCCCCACTCACTGTCTCAGTGTTAGGTCACAGACATTTCTCATTGCTGTGGTTCTCTCCTCTACTGACATTATACCCAGGCCTGATTTTATCTATGTGACCAAGCAAAGCTTACTGTAAAGTGGCTTACAAACCTGATGGCACACGTCAATTGCCTGTGTGTAATTCTTACACTTGAGGTAACTGAAGGCAAGTCGGTATCCTGTGAATACAGTACAGTAACATATCATTATATCAGTACATATCGTCGCTGTCCAAAAATAAAAAAAAACAAAACTGCAACTTTACAGAAGAAGACAAAAATGTTCTTTACTTTTAATGTAAATTAATTTAAAGACTTTTTATTCCAAGCAATTGTGGAGTATTTCTTTTGGTCCAGTCATCATGAAGTTTTCACACAATGTAAATGCAGCTGCTGTGCTCAAATGATGTAGAAGGGACAGTGACGATATGTTGTTCATGTAAGCAGAACAAATTGACCCTGAACTGAAATAAGGAGATACTATCTATCAAATTATGTAAGAACACCAGCATTAAAGGTGCATGAGTCAAAGTTAAATTGGTTAAATAGGTTAACTACAACAACACTGGTGTGTGTGCTACTCCTTGGATTTGCCTCCATTTCCACAAAGCACACCTGTAGAAACGACAATGACCAGTGTCGAGACCATTCAGAGTTTGCCAGCATTAAGAGGCATGCCTTCACCTTCAAGAAATGAGGTAGACCGTATATTAAGAGTATTGTCTTCAGTATTTAGATACAGACGATAAAACTATGGCAGGATGCTAACATTGCTTGGGAAAGATCAAAACACTCAATGTAGCCTCTCTCTCTCAATAGAGCACACTGAGTGTGGCCCTTTGTATAACTAAAACAAAAATTTCACAAATTGTTAACAACAGTGAATACCATGGCCATAGGCTGGTTTATCTCAAGGCACTTAAATTATGATGATATACCATTACACTTCACTCATTAGAGAGACTTTCTGTCTAATCATGCTATCCATGTACTCTCCAAATTCGTCTTTGTATGGCAGTTTGGTCAGAGCAGGCGTCAAACTCCCCTATCTCTTTTGTCCGGGGGACTGTAAAGCTACAAACCTATAAACATTTGGCTTTCAGTTCATACGGATTTGCGGCTAGAGAATAATAGAGAATAGTCAAGAGCGTCTTGTTTTTGTAATGACTTGTAATGAGGCAAGTTTCACCTCCACAGTAGCCTTTAAGGTGGAACAAAGTTTGAATAAGAACCCAATTTCAGCCTTGTCTAGATAGCTTCATTACCTGCACTGGAGTTTGATGCAACTGACTTTACATACATCTCTGTGAAGGAGCTTTATGCAAAGCATTACTTTGGCAAACTCCCTGAGTGATAAAGATTTGTCTACTTTATTCGTTATGTAAAGTCAGCCATTCAAACAGTTTAACGCTTAATATGCCTCACATTTACATTCTGTGCAAATGGAACGTTGCTAATTATAATTTCATCTTTGCAAAGAGGTTCTAATGTAAATTTGTGTTTCAGCATGTTTCTGGGGGTGGATTTATGTGGTGTAGGGGAGTGTCATTTAAAATAAGTGACAGGAGGTCAGAGTAAACAGAGATAAGCCGTCTGCTCTGCCCTGCAGTTTTCCAAACAGACTTTCTCAGGCACAAAATATACTTGTGTGGATGCCAATGCTAAAACAATTTTTTTTCTCATTTTTCAGGTGATATGTACTAGTAATAAAAGAAATAAATTGACTAATGCACCTTTAAGACAGACAATCAAGAACACTTAGGGTTCCAGTGAGAAACTGAAAGACTCCTCACCAATAGCAGGGTCTGTGAAGTAGCTGTATTTCCAGGCCAGCTCATACTGCTGAGCAGCATCCTTGTATCTCTGATCATTCTCCATCATAAAGCCCTTGTACTCGTATGCCCTGCTGCATGACTGAATAAGCACAACGATAAGAGATGAACAGACACTGTATCATGCCATTGATGGAATGGCCTAGTAAAAGGCAATATGGGATACTACTTCAACAACTTTACTACCATAAATTTACACAGAGAGAAGAACAACTGACCTATCCACGCTCCGCCCACAGATGTGTTCTTTTGTATCTACTGTAGGCAAAAATCCTTTTGAACACAATGAGAAACTGTAACTATGATACTGTGTCATATTTATTTTGTATCCCTGTGAAACCGTCTCACAGTTAGGACAGATCAGACAGCGCTAATGTAGCATGGTGGAAAATTCATCAATGTCAATTCCAATCTACCTGATGTTGATTAGCTACAACAACACAGTTCTGCTCAGTGGCTTCCATTTAAACTGGAAACCCAAAATTATGTAAATAACCATCAACTCTGAAGTGACTGAAGCGCAGTACAATCTCCTATTAGGTTGGATAATGTTTTTACCAGCATTCAATAAAGTTCCAACCTGGCAACAGTTGCTACAAAAGACCTCATTTGTGGGTGTTCTCGTAGACAAACTCTTAAAAAAGATGGTTCTTCAAGAGTTCTAGAACCACGAACACTCAAAGAACCATTTACATGCAAAAATGGTTCTGCCATTGTTACGATGCCAAACTTGTAACAACAGAACTACCCTTTTTGGTGCTATAGAACCCTTTTCAAAAAGGTTCTACATAGAGCCATATACAACACATTCTTCATCTATCTAATGAAGAACCCGTTAAGCATGCAAAACCACTGTCTTTACCAAAGAACTCCTGAAGAACCATCTTTTTAAGAGTGTACGTCAACTGTTGGAGCTCTGAAAGGAAGGTACTTGCAGAAAGTCAACAAGATGTGTCATTCATAATTTGACTTCCGATCAAGGTCAATAACCTCAGAATTGGTAGTGTACCAACCAAGGCCGAAGCAAATCTAGCAGTTTCTCACCATGTTGTATCGTATACAGTCATCCAAAAGCTTCTCTGCATTTGTGTATTTTCCCATTTTTATGTACATGTCAGCGAGGAGCAAGCAGCTCTTCTCAAAGTCCTCAGCGATGCCATGGGTCCATTGTGCTTTGCTGATCCTTTTCAGAAAGTTCCTGGCCCTGGGAGACTGTTTGAGCAGCAGAAAAGCCTGAGCAGCTACCAGTAACGAGGCCTCCAACAACACCTACAGCCAAAGAGAAAGCCTGAATGTATTTGTGCAAGATTCAGCACACTTAAGAAAAATAAGAATGATTCAGCTCTTAACACAAAACTATTATTAACAGTATAAACACTCTTTACCGACAGTGCCACTGACAACCATGACATTTTTTTAATTATGGTACATAAATCATAAAAAATATAACACAATATCATTTTTTTAAATGATAGTCTTACTATAACTTTCAAAACTTACAATCTGAGTAGGAATTGTGGGTAAAAATAGGAAGACTGGTAAAGATGTCCTGTACATCCAAATGACAGAGCCAAATTTAATCTTCATACATTTATGGAATAGCTGTGCTCTGGACTTTAATTTTAAAATTTCATCTGGAAACCTTACAGGGGTGAAGCCAGCAATCCCCTGACGGTCCCCTGAGAAAAGCTTATGAAGTAATATATAATGGCAATGTTTAAAATGGCATCTATAACCCCTGACATGCTACAGGGCCCCTCTGTAGCTGTGCCCCTTGCCGAATAAATAACGCAGGGCTTTCCCTCTAACAGTGCCCCTTTGACCGCATTCCTGAGATTTATTCCTCCAGAACCTTTTTGAGGTCAGTTAACCTAATTTGTTGCCTTTGGAAATACTGATCTATGCATTTATATTAAGTCATATTATATATACAAGAAATTAAAAATATAAGTGTAAGATTAACTGTTCAATAAACGATCAACATTTATAGCCATCTTGCTGCAGATTATCTGGTTTGTATGCAAGTATGTGTGCAGCTAGGCAGAGTAAAAACACATCTAATTCTGTCTTCATATCTAGTATTAAATGGGCTGATCATACTAGGTGAACTTTTAAATGCTAGTGCTTTGTTTATATGTGATTATGTAAATATCAGACGGCAAATGATGCAAGATTCCCCCTGCAGGCTTCTTTCCTTGGGCAGGGGTCATTTTTACCCATTTGTAGGACTTTGTGCCCTAACAGAAACATTGCTTGTTCTTCTAATTTATTTCCTCTAATTGTATATTAGTTTATGCACCCTGTATATGCTAAAAAAGACAAAAAAATATGATTTATGTTTTTACAGTAAATGAACATTATTCTTCAGGTGACCATCTTCCCTACATGTTAACTCATATACTAATACATCATCGCTGTCCCAAAAAAAACAACAAGTATCTCCACAACAGTGACTTTACAGGAGAGGGCAAAACCTTCTTAGCCTTAAATGTAAGTTAATGCAACATAATTTTATACCAAGCAATTCTGAAGCATTTTTGTTGATCAATTAATCATGAATTTTCACACAATATACAGGTCAGCTGCTGTGCTAAAATTATGTAGACAACTTAACATTGCAAAAAATTGAGTTTTTTTTTGGACAGCAACAATATGTATGTTATCAGTTTAACATCTGCTAAATTTCCTATGAATATGTGAAGTATTTTATTTGAAAATGCTGTATATCTATGTGTATCAGTTTTGTATATAACAGGTTTTTGAAATTATGTATGGAAATATTTCATCATTTCATGATGATATTTCATGTGTGTTTAAGGCCTGCTTCCAATAACGTACATCATGAAAGAAAAAAAAAGACAATTCCTACACTTACATTTTTTGCCACCATGTCAGACAGAACAAGCACAGCCTTCTCCACTTGCTTCGGCTCCTTGCTGTGGACCAGGCAGAGGTTGTAAAGGAAGACAGCTTTGTATTGGCCAGTTTTAGAGCGGGGCCGGAAGGTCCTGAGCAAATCCTGGGCTATGCTCATTCCTATTAATTTACCCCCAAAGGCGAACGGTGGACTAGAACTGATGAACATTATGAAAAACAGGCCAAACAAATCAGACTGATGATGATATTACATTATGTAATTATACCAAAAACCTTCTGCTTCATGCGTCTTCACAGTGCAGTGCTGCTGAGTCAGACTTACTCTAGGTCCTCCTCCGAGCTCTCAAACACCTCTCCTCCAAATGTTTCCTTGTCTGGGTTAAGACAGATATGCACCATCAGTTCCACAGCATCTTCCCCCCACTCTGGATCCCCCCTGGCCTGGCTCAGGTGTATCAGTGCCTCCCTCACACGGTATGCATGCCTGATACATACAAACAATGCCTCAACAATCAAACGGCTCAGTAAAGATGGAAAACGCATTAACATTTCTAATTCACGTTTGCTTTCAGGTTCCATACGTTTAGGAAAATTGTGCCGATAAGAGACAGATGTGTTCTAATACAATTCTTTACAGAGGCTGTTACAAGCTTGTGCTGCTATGAGCTGGTGCCTAGTATGTGAAGGTAATTGATGAAAAATAAAATCAATCTTGTACAGTTGACTCCACCTTCTGCGCTGCAATTTTTGTATTACTGAAGACTTTATGGGTTCTACAGTTCATTAGTTTATTGAATACATCAGACAATTGTGAACTATCGATTCAATACTGACAGCTAACAATCTTATCAGTCAGTAAAGCACTATTTAACTAAAAATATTGGAATCTGTTTCATTTTTGTTGCTATAAAGTGATAACATTTTTCATTTTTTAGCTCCATAAAATAGGTATAGGTATCAGCAGGCATTCTATCACTAATGTACCCATAATGTAATGGAAAATTCTGCAGTGTTTGTTGAGACTGACCAATAGTAGAGTCCTTTGCAGTAGTTGTAACCTGGTTCTGTAACTGCAGTTGAAGAGTAGGTTTCACACGTCTTAAAGAAAGGCAGTACATCATCCAGTCTCCCCACCCAGCGCAGCATGTGGAGAAGCTTTGCCAGCGCACAAAAGTTGCCTGTTTAAGAGACAACTGGGTAACACTTTACTTGAACCATGCTATATAACATTGACATGACCACGCTATAAACATATCACTGCATAGCACTGTCTGGGTGACACTTTATTTTGAGCGGTCCTTGTCAGATGAAATAAACACTCCACAGGCTCTCAATAACATATCAACAACACATGAATGACATAGCAGCAGTGAATACATTTAGTAGATTATCAAGAGACTTTTATTTAACTTTTATTTTGGCTAATTTATTTATGATCTGCTGAGTTCGATTATTTTTCACTTTATTTGGAGTAAGAAAAGTTACCGAACATATAACAGGTATGATACAGCACATCTCAACATCCTCAACAAGCTGTTACAGACATGCCTAGTCTGTAACTGGAGTTTAACTGGGTTAGGTTTTGAGTTGAGGTTAAGGTTAGGGATAGGATTAGGGTCAGGGTGAGGGTTAGGTTGTGGGTAAGGTTGGGTAAGGTAAGGTTTTGCTTTATGGACGTACAATATAAAGTCTATCTTCATGTAACACATCAACAATACATCTACTTAATGTAAGTAATGTATCAACAGAACATCTTCAAGATATTTACCTCAATGTATTCAGATGCTGCACTACTGCTGCATCACTGCTATTTCACTAATCTGTTAAGAGTTTATTAATCATCTACAAAGAACCACTCAAAATAAAGTGTTAACGATGTCTGTCATCTGATATCTGTCAAGATAATTAACGGAAAGGTAACATGACACTGATATATTACTGGACACAATCTGTCATGTAATCTGACATGATATATTTATGACATGCTTATGTCAGTGTTATGCAGCAGGGTTCAAGTAAAGTGTTACTGAAAATTGTATGAAAACCAGCACTGTCACAAACTAACATCTCATTACATAAACTTATGATAGCTAGACTTTTATCTACACTTGTTTCAAAGAACAATACCTGGATATTGGTAGATGATGTCTGAGTACCGCTTGATGGCCTCTTCTCTTCGGTTTTTCCGAAACACCACATCAGCTAACAGCTAAAGGCATGAGAAATGCAAAGAGATTATTGTGAACAGTATATGAAAGTATTTCATCCAAGACAAGGCTCAACCACTGTTTGAAAAGCTGACTCTAAACCACATATACAGACGGTACCATAGATGTGGAGGTATGCTTTTCATCAAGCTTCAGTATCTTAAGACACTGGTCTTCACAGTAATCCAGACTGTGGTGCTCATAGTACAGCTGTGCAATCTGGAAGTTAATCTGAAGTTGAGAAAACATGGAACTGCTTATTATCCAGAAAACGTTCTAACAGTTTCTGAAACATAATGTTAGAAGATTCCTAGGACACCGACTTCTATATCGTCTGTGCAGTACATCAGGGCCTCTGAGTAGCACTGCTTGGCCTTCTCAAGATCATGGTTGCTGCAGAACTTTTGAGCCAGCTCACAGCAAACGACTGCTGCCATTCTCTTCTGCTGATCAATCTTCTCTGGCTGCTCAAATGACAAACGTCTCACAATCTTCTGCTGGAGTTCATAGATCTGAAGATGGGTGGAAACATTCAGGGAAATCAAAAAGTGAATGGTTTATCCTTAAAGGCACCATGGCAATATTCTACAACGAGCTAATCAAACATTAAAAAGGAACACGACATGCAGTAGTGCTTAGGGATTAAAACATGGTGAGGAAGAGAAGACTGAGAGACTGAGCTAAGTGCCTTTGATTACAGTTAGTATGCAGGTAATCTCAGAAACCCCGAATGGCTAACAACCTCACAAAAACGGTGTGATTAATATTCTAGAAGCAACTCTGTTTTTTTCCTTGTTCCCAGAACCACTTTAGTAACTAGACTAATTCACTCTAGTAGTAACCAGGGTGAATTAAGCACTTTCCACAGCACTTGTAACACTCTTATAAAGCCTTACTGAGACTGAGTCAAGACCAGAAGCAGGTGAGACCAAATCAGGATGGTTCCAATGCATTACACAAATATCATAACAACATAAACGATATTAACCTACCAACATGTCAAGTATGCATTTTTACTTTTGGAAGCAAATAAGGGCTAATTATCAGTGATGGTCAATTACTACTGGCTTGGTAAAGCTTATTCACAGCATTACAAGAAAAATGCTGGAAAATGCTTAAAACTGAATTATAAGGACATTACAATGTCACCCTATACTGAATTGTTCCTGAAAACTCTTCATAACAATCAAATCAAGTATAATAACAATAAAAACTAACACATAATAAATACTGAGTGACAAAGAGCTGCATAATAGCTATAAAAATGAAGTTATGAAATATCTGAAGTTTGAGTCTGAGACTACACTGTTTACTCTTTACGATGATACTTTAAATTATACTTGGCATAGTTAAAATTATTCTTCAAACTGTACAGAAAATATTCACTAACTTGTTGTAACTTGTCCAGACAAGGTTCATTTTTGGCATGCATCACTTTCACCAGCATTCTTAAAAATGCCACATCGTTTATCATTGTGGACAGATTAGCACCTAAGAAGGCAAGAAAGGCATCTTATTTTTTTTTTAACTCATATGAGGCATGTTACTGATTTAGTAAAGTAGGCTAAAGCTGCACGATAAAACAGTCTATCTGAAGTGTTAATTACACAATAACAGTATTACAATTTGAAGAAAAGTGTAGAAGCGCAAGTATTTGCAACATGCGTAGACAAACCTATCGAGCAAATAACAACATATACAGCTGTATGCAAAAAAGTTTTTAAACCCCTTTCAAAAAACAAAAACAAAACATGATCAATAAAAAGTGTCATAACTTTTGCACAGGCCACATTTTATCTTTTATATTATTTCCAATATGTTAAATTCAGCAAATAAACAGTAATTGTGCATTAAAACATGCAGAAGTGTGTTCTCTGTAGAGGATAAGTAACTTATTTTCACTTAGAAAACCAACAAAACATGTCATTTGATCAGGGGCACCCGAATGTTTCGCATAAGGCCATACTTGCATAAATGTTAACTTTAAAATAACTTAGGAACAAAGAATGAATACTTCAAAGTTGCACAGGTTACAACAAATGAAAACATCCAATTTAATTGAAAAAAAAACAAAAAACAAATGTATTACTGTCTTCATGGTCCAAGGCCTTTTCTAGGATTTGCTGAGCTCTTTCAAAACGCCTGAGTTTAAGCAGGAGCTCAGCCAGCTCTAGACACACAGAGTCCTGCATGCTGGTGCTGAGGGCAGTCTCATAGTAGTTAACAGCCTGAAGGAGAAGAGAAAAAATAAGGTTAAAGACATGCAAGGATTCGGTCCTTTTACACATAAACACTACCACCACTACCACTAGGTAGTTCCACCTTAACTTACTGCCACTTGCCTTGTCGTACTGGTGTGTTCTCACCAGGGCTTGGCCTATTTTCGTAGCAAATGAAGCTTCCTTGGGTGCCATTTTTACTGCTTCTTGATAGACCTCAATAGCTTTCTCTGGCTAGAAGAGGAGAAAACAAATGTCTTTTGATATGAACATTAAAACAAATGATTAAAATAAATTGCATGTATATAGAAATCCAGAAGTACCTCTTGTATCTTCATAAAGGCATCAGCCAGCAGCGCACTGGAGTGAGGTCCAGGTAGCTGTTCACAGATTTCCCTGAAATGTTGGAAAACTCTTCAGTTAAGGGGGATATTATGAGGCCCTTTTAATGCACTTCTTAAGCCTAACAGTACATGCTAAGTAACTGCGTGCTTATTACTACATTATTAAGCCGTAAGTAGAGTGAATTAAGCATTTTCCAGAGCATTTCTATTTGTGTATTGAACATCACAATCTTTTGCACAACATTTTAGGTGTCCATTATTATATACTTATTAAGCCTTAATAAAGTCCATAGATGGTAACTAATTTATCAAGCCAATAACTGGTAATTAACTGTCTGCCCATTACTACATTATTAAGCTAGAGTAAATTAAGCATAATGGCTAATTGTCATTGAAGGTTAATTACCAACTACTGGCTTGATAAAGCTTAACCAGAGCATTACAAATGCTCTGAAAAATGCTTAATACACCTTAGTTACTGCTTAGTAATGTAGTTATTAAAAAAATAGTTAATAATGAACTACTGGTTTGTTAAGATTTATCAAATATATTTCATAGATATTATATGGGTTTTAAATTAAATGTCTATCTATACTGAATTGTTACTGAAGACTCCTCATAACAACCAAATCAAGTTTAATAACAAAAACCAATATGCATAATAAATTCCCAGTAACGAAGAGTTACATTCACTTTGTTTTGGTCATGTTTTAAGGCAGTGAGGACAAATAATGGTATTTGCTAGTATATGCTATCAGGAACACACTTTTTTTTATCACTCTTATACATACAGCATGCTTATCAAATACACTTCACATCACCAGTCCCATTTAGAGTAGACTGACTCATTTTGAGTGCATTATGGAACAAGGATGATTATTTTAACAAAAAAATTTCTAAATATGCGAAATGATGGAGGGACTTATGCATGCATCGACACATACATTGTAGAGGGGCTTATTTTGTTAGAGGGCTGGTGAGGCTGGCATGTAAAAGTTCTATTTGAGAGCTTTTCTTTTTCTAAGCCAAATCAATGACACACAGATTATCTGTGTACTACATTATTAGAGCCCTGTACAATCAAGACACTGAAAGCACCTAAAATATCAAAAACTGGATAAAATCCTAACCTCTACACTCCTCTACATCTACATACAGTGTACTATGAATGTAAAACAGTGCAAATTAATGTGGATCGTATGCATCTACCTGTAACATTCTATGTAGCGTTTCTTGTTTCTCATTCTCTCCAGGTAAATGTAGGCCATCTTCTCCTTGGCCTGTATGTAGCTGGACTTGCCAGGTGGGACACTTTGCAGTACATTAAGAGCAGTGTCAACATCATCTTTAGCCAAGGCTAAGTCTACATTAGCCACCATAACCCGCATTTCTTCGGGGGTCTCCTTGAACTGCCAAATTCCATCCTGCATGACCTTAGCAGCCTCATGCTGCTCAGGCAGAAAAGATGAAAAAAGCAACTGCAGTGTATTGTACCACAGAATGTCATATAAAGGTCACTTCCAAATCGAAATCATTCAGAAAAAGGGTCCACATCAGCACTTTCTACCTGCTCTCCGTTCAGCCGCAGGGCATCCGCAAACTCCAGGAACACCGAAACTCTCTCACTGAGTGAGAGGGAGGTTTTCTGTCCCTCAGTGACCCTCCTGACCCCTGGCATGCTCAACACCATGCGCAGACACTGGATGGCTGCTGTCAGCTCCCCAGTCCCCTTCAGAGCTCTGGCTTTGATCAGGTTATACTGAGGCATCTGTCGTAACTGAACACAAACATCTGCACTCACTCACACACTTAAAGCGTGTTTGTTGTTTTTGTTTGTAAAAAATATAAGATGGTTGTTTTACGTAAAAGCAACATGACAGCCAGTATGTCTTTGTTTTCAGTTTGTTACAAGGTGGTTGTTACTTGTACCAGCAATGTATCAGCAAATATTCATTTATCTATGACAGTGGTCATTACATGTTAAAAACAATGTGGTAGCAACTATATTTTTATTTACTTATTAATTACTTAAACTGCAGGCTTATTAAAATCAATTATTTATTTTACGACTTTTATCCAGCAGCTACTGCAAATCATTTGGCAACTACTAAGACATTTTAAAGTAAGCTAGCTTAAACCTTACTGAAATACAGTCAGAAGAAATGGCTATATCTTAGAACTGTATTTTGGGCATTTCAGTGGGCATTATTCGAGTAAACGATATCATTCAGCCTAGTTTCAATTCAATATGGTGTTTAATTCCTTTTGCCAGCGATTATGGTTTCTTCAGTCAGTCATAAACACTTCATTCTTGTTATTCTCCTACTAAACCAAATAAAAACGGCCAGCAGACTATTCAAACTAACTGGAACAAAAAGGCTCAGAAACAGATCTAAATCATCTTCTTTTACAGTACTAACAAGGAAAAAAGGTTAAAAATCTGTTTTTATACATATAACCACAGGGGGACCAAATGTCCCCATTTTCCGGGGACAGTCGCATAATGCTTGTTTCGGGCAAAAACAGGCCAACACAGCTCTACAAATAAAGCGTAATTTTTTCAACTGTGTTAATTTTTAAGCCATCGATACATGACATATGGCATATGTTGATAAGCAGCCATCTCTGTGTTTAGGGTCCAGCTACTGGGCTATAGCCACAGGTCTCTTTTTACTGCCAAAATATTTAATATGAATATCAATATGAATTATGGGCTCATACAACCACTGAATCTTTTGTGGTAAACATGTCCCTAAACCTAGACTTAGTGACTTCTGAGACCATTTTTTACTTAGTGACCTTATTTCTAAAAATCGACGAGGAACAAATCTTGTGAGGGGAAAAGCAAGAAATATAAATCTTTTATAGGACTATTGTAATTGATTCCCATGCATGCTTCTTTATTGATTGTTCCATAGTGTACAATAGCTTCACTCACCATGGTAGGTTACTGTATGATTTTCTGACATGGTTTACAAAGTTGTTACTTACTTGGTACCCAATTTTATCAGTTGGCCTTCACCATAGTTCATAACAGTACAACAGTTACCATGATCAAAAGATATGAAACTTGAACTATCCCCTCTTTTTTATTCCATAGATAAAAACATTGGATATTTTAAAGATATATTGACCGCCAAACTGAAAATGTTCCTGGTTTTCATTCAGAATTCTGGTCACCTTTTATTAATGTGACAGTATATAAGGTGAGCTAAAGACATAAATTAAGCTTGTAAAAAAATAAATAAATAAATAAATAAATAAAAAGTCTTAGCATTATTAATATTTATATGTAACTGCCACACCTACACAGTCTTGTGTGTTCGTAATAGCCTAGTGCAATGCCAGAGTGGGACATCGGGACAGTCAGGAGAATTCCTCGTGGACAGGTAACATTTTGCACCAGTTACGAATACAAATGAGCTAATGTATAAACTCACATTTAAGCACAAGAATGCATAAACGAACTATAAATGCTACATTCAAGTGTATTTCTGCAATAACTTATGGGTTATACCAGCAGCCTCCAACTTAAGTGGTACAGCCTGGTTTGATGACTGTAACTGGGCCTTGTACAGTGGATAAAGATTAGATGAAACTGAAATTGGCTTATACTTCTCATTTCCTGTTCTACATTAAATGATGTAGCATTTACATTCACAGGCCTGTATGGGCGCTAGCATCTATTTGCTCCACTACTTAAAGTGAAAAGTAAATTTGAATAAGAAGCTAACATCAGCCTTGAGAAATCAGTGGATCAAACTCATCGCAATGGTGTGAATCTGGCTGACATAATAGGCAGTGCTTTACAGAGTTCATTACTTTTTTGCATTACTGATGTAGCAATTTTCATACATAAATTATACGAAGATGGACAGCAGCAGCAAGAACCGAGCCCCTCCAGTGGAAACCGTATTTATACTTTATATTTATACTTTTTTGGATTATCAGTTATTTTGTTTTCTATTTTGTTTTAAATAATCTTTTACATTTAATAGTCAAACTATGCTTCATTTATGTTTTAGTGACCCTTTATTTTAAATACAGGGCATCAAACAATGCCACACCATGCTTCTATGACTCTTTCAAAAAAAGTCACATACTGTTTTTCGTTGCAAAGGCTCAATTGACAAAAAACACAAGGTGGCACCGAGAAGTAAAGAGAAGAGAAGAACTAAAAAGCTACTGAAAAAAGGAAGACATATCCGAGCAGGTGGGCAATGAGAAAAGCTGACCTACTTTGCTAGCATTAGAATACTGAGTTTCATGTTGATGTTGTATATAAGAAACACTACAGATGTTAAGCTTTTGACAGTTTTCATTTTATCACTAGCTTGCCGCATTGGTTTTCTCAGTGTGGCATAAATAATAAATAAGAGAAAAAATGAAGATTTTAGATTTTGGAAAAAGCTATTTTGCATGAAGGCAATGCTATGTGAGGTGGGCTGGTCTGTATCATAACTCCTGGTCTGCAAACAAGTCCCACTCTGGTGCTGGCCAAGTGCAATCATTGTAATTAGAAACGTTATTCTTATGACTTTTGTTAATTATTTATGCATTAGAGTCGGTGTGTTCACACTCCTTCTGACTTACTTCAAAGTTATAGCTGACACCAGACTCCAAACAGCTGAGACACTTGCTGAAGTCTCCAGCATGGAGGTGACGTTTGGCCTGTAGGAGATGGATCTCAGGCATGGTGGGTTCCTTCTCCATACACAGGTTCAGAAAGTGTTGAGTAGCTGCCTGATCACCTTTAAACACACGTTGCTAAAAGGTCTTACTTTAGGCTCTTTTATAGGCTTAGTCAAACAACCTCCTTCATTAAGAAACTTTATTTAAAGCAATATCTACATACTGTAACTTAACAGACACACACACCTGTTAGAAATTTGACTTGTGCCATATAGTAGCAGCTGGCAAACACACCAGGCGCAGCTCTAATAACAGCCTCTAGAATCATACTGGAGTGTTTCAGTCCAAAGGGATGGGGCTGGCCAGCATCATATGGAGTATCCTACAGATGCGAAAAAAGTTTTAAATTTAAAGACCAAAGTCAGCTTTAACTCACTGAACACTAAGCTTGTTCAGTTGTTCACCTCATGACTTATTATCTAATAACTACTATGAATTACACAGTAACTACTGTGAAACTACTATGTTACGTAAACTATGTCCAAACGTGTCCAGACACCCCTTCTAATTAGTGAATTCAGCTATTTTAAGATGCACTCATTACTGACACAGGCATTCAATTGGGACTTGTATAATCTCCTTAGAAAAAGCATTGTCAATAGATTGGGACTCCTCACAGCAATGTTCCTACATTTAGTGTAAAGTCTTCCCAGAAGAGTTGAGGCTGTTACTGCAGTATAGAGGGGGATATATAGTGTGTGTGGTTATGAGAAGATAAGTCTGGAACTGCCAAAAGGGGTTAAACAAACAGTGACAAAATACCTAAAATACACTAAATGTCTTATTGTTCTTCAAAACGTGTCAGGGGGAAGAGACATACCTGGCTGTTGGCAAGATGCATTCTGACAACCTGAAGGAGGAAATTGAGGTTGAGTCTCTGCAGGTAGTCCACACTATGGGGAAGCCCTCGGAGGGCCTGCAGATGGAGCTCTGTGGCCTCCTTCAGTAGGGCCACCACACTCTCCTGGGCAGCTCCCTTCTTCTGGGCCAACAGGGCCTGCAGAAGGGTCACTTCCTGCCAAATGAAGACAGCTATGTTTAACAGCTTAGTAGACCTAGCTTAGTGTTTGCCAGCTGTAGGTGCTCACACAGCAGAAAGCACAAACATCCCCACACTGTAAAAACAGCTGCTGTAAAATTATAGTAAGTCACTGGTAGCTTTATTGGTACTAAAGCCCCAAAAATATACAGTATTAGACAATATCTTACAGTACAATACTGCATATTTACAGCACTTAAGAATTCTAGGGTAGTTCATTTTTCCATGAACCTACTGCTGTATACTGTTAAGAATGGACACTAGAATACAAAATATATTATACTGTCATTTAATAAAACAGTATGTTACAGTAAATTGTATTGTAAATGACAAATTACTGCAATTGTATAACTGTCAGACATTATGATGAAGGAGGACTGAACTATAAAAACTTTGTTATGGAGCAGTTTCAAGCTCATTAAACTATTGGAAAAGTGTCTTTTATATGGACACAAATCATTTCAATATGGTCAATATCCAGTTATTATTATTATTATTATTATTTCAAATTGTTGAAATATGAAATAATATGATTACATGAATAATTAAAAATGTTTATTAATGTGTAATATCCTGGTTAATATGAATATAAATACATTTAAAATAAAAAAAAACATTGTTGCCCTCTCCTGTCCAGTTGCCATTTAGGTGATACTATTTTTTTTGTACAGTGACACTTAAAGGGATATGAAGGTGTATAAGACAAATAAGCTTGGAACCACTGTAGCAGACTTACCGCTGACCGTCCAAGTGACTGCTGCACTTCATGGAAGAAGTCCAGCTGCTGAGCCGCCTCCTCCACCTGTCCATCCGTCAGCTGACACCTGATCATACCTGCACAGACATTAACAGGCAGCAACACAGGAGCCTAGTGGTTAACCTTCTTTAGCTGTGGTTATTCAACCATAATAATGGATACTAGTTTGTTTCAATGAAACAAATGCAAACATCAAAAATCACCATAATTGAAATAATGGTTTGTGATGTATCAAAGTTTTTAAACCTGAGGTCTGGTTCATGTACCTTCTAATGCAGCTACGCTCCCTGGGTCTACATTCAGAGCTTTGGTGTACCATCTGTGGGCCTCTTTATACTTGTGCTGGAGAGTGAGGAGGTAGCCAAGCTCAGAGGCCAGAGCAGAGTCATGAGGAGCTCTGGACACAGCTCTCTGCACAAATGATGTCAGCATCTGAACAACATCTCCGTTGTGTCCACACTGTAGGAAACACAGTCATATGTAAAAGTTTGGGCGCCCCTGGTCAAATTACATGTTTTGTTGGTTTTTAGTTAGCTTACTTTTGTTGTTTTAAGTTAAACATCCTCTTTAGACAATACACTTGTACTGTACAATTACTGTGTATTTGCTGAATTTAACATATTCAGGGAAAAAATGAAACATAAAATGCGGCCGGTGCAAAAATTATGTCTCTCTCTCTCTCTCTCTCCCCCTCTCCATATGTATATACATATATAAACGTTAAACTTGTGCACCAGAAAAATGCCATATTTAAGACTGCTCCCTGCAGAAAATCAACGACTTTTAATATTTGAGGAAACATTTCTCCTCAATAATGATATGATATAGACAAAACAATAAAATAGGTACATGGGATTACTTTCTACACGCAATGTGTTTAAGAACATTTTGCAACATCGGTTGAGTTTTGGACCCCTTCCTCAAGCAAGTACACCTGATGTCTGTGAGTGTGTCAAGAGTATTAAAAATAACTCGATGTGTCTTCTAAATGCAGGTGAATTATGTACTATTGTCATCATATATTCATCAGCATAATGTTGATTTTGCATTTGAGACCTAAACATCAAACCTGATCTTCTTTTTGAGTCTGTGTGTGAGATGTTGATATGTAAAGAAGTATTTTTCAAAAACTCCAAAATCTAGAGGTGGGCGATATGACGATGTTTCATCGTTGTCGTGATAAATTATGTCATGATATGCTTTCTGAGAATATTGTGGATATCGTCAGCATAATTAGGCCTGTTTAACTGGATTTAGTATTTTTATATGTAGTACTATAGATTCTATTAGTTGTTCCAACTTGTTAATCATAGAAAAATGAAATATTATGTATGTATATCATGAAAATGCCTTGAATTATCATGATATTATTTTTTGTCATACTGCCCACCTCTAGTGAAATCTGACCCAACACCTCTGACATTTCAATTATTTCAGGCTTTACAGGGTGGCTTGCAGCAGCGCACACACTATATTTTACTATGTTTTTTTCCCTCCTGACTCAGTAATGCAATCTCTGTCAGTTTTAACCAAAAAATCTTTTGCAGTGCTGCTTTAAAAACTGAACACAAGAACGGATGAAGTAAAAAGTCCAAGGGGTGGACACACTAAATACTGAAAATTTTGATATTACACAAAATTGTCTTCTATGTAATTTTCTGTTAAATGTCTTTTGTGCTTTTGTCCCTGATGCTGTAAAATGAATTTGTACTTGAATGAATTTAAACTTGTACTTAACAGCGGTTTTGACAGGAAATGAAATTAAGGAAGGGTGGTCTCTGACATACTATATTTATTTGCACGCAAGTTCCATTTGATTTACCCAAGAATCACATCATACCAGTCTACTGATGGGCAGTGTGACCTCCACATGCAGGCTGAGAGTGCTGGGCTCAGTGACTTCAACGGCACTCAGAAGCCGCTGAAGATACTCTTTCACCTGCAACACAAACCCTGAAGATGATGTTGTGGATCTGATTCTGACAGAGGCAAGAACAGGTAAATCACTCATTCCAGATACATCTGTTATAGCTAAATAAGCTTTTACATATATATATATATATAACATATTGAACCTACCACTCCGGTCAACTGTTTTTTCCAAATCATCATGACAGGCGCTTGCCATTATGCAAGAACTAACGCATAATTACCTTCCTCATATCACCGTCCTTCGCTGCAGAGATTACAGACATCATCTGAAGGGCTTTCAAGTTATGAGCATCTGTCTCTAGGATTCTACATGATTTAGGCAAACAGAGCAGAGTAATTGAGAAAATAATTAAATCACACTGAATCTTCAAGGAGGGGAAAAGCACAACAGTTGAGGAATAATTTTCCCTTTTTTGACATCAGGCCCACCTCTCAGCCTCCTCAGCTGTCTGTTCCCAGTTATGGTGAGACATGAATATGTTCATCTTGAGAACAAGTGCTGGAATGAATTGAGGATGGGAGGCTATGATTTGATTGACCATGTCCAGCGCACGCGACTCATTCTGTCTCACCATGAAGAACTCAGCCTGTGAGACAACAGGTCAAAGGTAAGTTTACATGTGTCATTTTACATGTGTCACACTGAGACAAACTAAAGTTATAAAATAAACAATAATTCTGTGCCTTATTGTAGACTAGATCTTTTCAGATGTGTAACGGAACATCAAGTAAGGAATTCTGTACCTTTCCCATCAATCCAAATACATCTTTGGAGTCACGCAGTCCACTGTCAAAGTAGCGGGCAGCTTGAGAACGTTCAACATCATTATCAGAAGTCAGGAAAATCCAGCCCTTGAGAATGAGCCCCTGTCAACACACAGACAGTTCGGACTAATAAGTATTACACCCTTAATGCTTCTGTTTACAGAAGCGGAATTTACCTTAAGTGGAATTCCACACGTTTTTCAAAATTTCTGTTATTTATTTAGCTTTTTTATTTTAGCTATTGAGTCATTCAGGGCGGTTTTATGTGATATGATTTATTGTAGAGAAACCTAAAGATTTTGATTTCTTTACAGTGGTGGTGATAGGAATACAAATATAGCCATTTTATTTACTATTCAAAACAACCAGTGAACCTACACGTGTCTTTGTTGGTGAAACAGTAGTAAACTCAAAAACTACCTTTTCTTTGAGAACAGGTGCTTTTCCGTCAGGTAAAGATTTTAAATATACATTTAAACCCTTTCTTAAAACTTCTGAAAACTACTTTCATGTAATAATTTTCTGTGACGTAGTATAATGGAGCATTCCACATCAAACCACGATTTAGCCTAATTATGTAAAAAAAAAAATCAACTTTAGCGTCAAACAAAGTTCAATAAATTTAGTAGCAACAATATTAACGAACACATTTCTATTCAAAATGCTATACAAAGCTATAAAATGGCATTTCATGTTAAAACTTTGTCTTTAATGGATTTCTGTGAAGCTGCTTTGTGACAACATCAGTTGTAAAAAGCGCTATACAAATAAATTTGACTTGACTTTGACATTAGAGCCTTTAAGTTGTTAAGTTGGCCTTAAAGTAAAACACAAACTAATCAGTACACACCTGTGAAGAGGAACTGGACAGCTTTAACATCTTTTCGACATAATCTCTGGCCTTCTCATTTCGACCCAGAATCCAGTAGAGCAGGGACGCAAAGTACAGAGCCCTGTCCCCAGCTGTCCTCCTGGACATCTTTAGACAGGCGTCCAGTTCAGATACAGCCTCTCGGTCTGAGGGGGACAGTGCAAGTAAGTGTATGATAAGTAGGGTTGTAAAATAAAGGGGTCAACACTGCCTACTGCCCAGTGCCCCCTGGCCACAACATTCCACATTTTGCCCACTAAAAGTGCAGAGCCTGTAGCCCAATGGCCCCTTGCCTTTAATATTTTTTTTGCACTTTTTCCCCCCAAGTTTTTCCCCTTTTGACAAGCCTGTTTGTTTGGATACAGAACTAATTATTCCAAATCAGATTTTGTTGGAATTTGTTAACTGTAACCACCACTAATGTGATGGAGCTGGCCCAACTAGCATTAAAGATGGTGTCCAATGGCTGAAGTTTGCTAATATCACTCATGAAATAAAGCCTTATATACAATAACGTGTTAAATAAGCTGGCCTTAGACTGAGCCTATTGCTGCAGTAACAATAAAAGCAACCAAATGAAATAACCTAGATCGGATGACGTCCAGATGTCCAGTTTGGTAGGGCAACCACTACTGTCACCACAACAGCAATGTTCTTATAAATGTTTTGAGTTTTTAATAAACATTACCTTGCAAGCATGTACACTATATATATATATATACACCGATCAGGCATAACATTATGACCACCTCCTTGTTTCTACACTCATTGTCCATTTTATCAGCTCCACTTACTATATAAGTGCACTTGTAGTTCTACAATTACAGACTGTAGTCCATCTGTTTCTCTGCATACTTTTTTAGCCCTGTTCTTTTACCCTTTTCTTCAGTGGTCAGGACCCCCATGGACCCTCACAGAGCAGGTACTATTTGGGTGGTAGATCATTCTCAGCACTGCTGACATGGTGGTGGTGGTGTGCTAGTGTGTGTTGTGCTGGTACGAGTGGATCAGGCACAGCAGTGCTGCTGGAGTTTTTAAACACTGTGATAGCTCATCTGCTGCTGATAGCTCATGATAGCTCATTTGCTGCTGTACAGTTTGTGTTGGTCATCCTCTAGTCCTTCATCAGTGGTCACTGGATGCTGCCCACAGGACGCTGTTGGCTGGATATTTTTGGTTGGTGGACTTTTCTCAGTCCAGCAGTGACACTGAGGTGTTTAAAAACTCCAGCAGCACTGCTGTGTCTGATCCACTGATTGAGTGTGGAATATGCAAATGAGCCTTTAACCAATCACAGTATTTTTTACTGTGTGCGATCAACATCCTGACCAATCACACATTTTCCTGACTGATGAAACAAGGCATTCACATGGTCCAAGAAAAATAAACAGTTTTGGTCAGAATTAACATTTTTTGGCCAATCTTTAACCACCTCACACATGTTTTCAATATGTTGGGAAGTTGCAAAGGCAACAGTAATATAAATTACAGTATCATGAAGTCCTAACCAGAATACTGAACTAGTATCTTAACTGCCCTTCAAATGCACTCTCTCCACTGCTGAGTGGTATTAGCTCATTTGGAAACAGTTTATCTGGGCACGTTTGCTCCTTTTTGTATTTCAAATATCGCACAAAAATATAATTTCCCCAATACTGTTCAGCCTTAACGACAAGGCAAATTCTGGAACTTTTGAAAGAAGCCTGTCCAAATATCTAAATTAGAACAGACGTGAATCCAAATCAATGAAAAGAGTCTAATGACAACTTACCAACGGTCTCACTCTGCCTGTGTGCACAGAGGAGAGCCATCACTGAGCACAGCGAGGTCTGAGGCTTGTCTCTCAGGTGGGTCAGCTCCCTCATGGCCTCTTGAGTACGTCCTTTCATACAAAATAGGATCAAAATGTATCGGCCACCAGCATCACTAGCTACCATCATTATTAGCTATCGACATCACTCACTCCGAGTTACCTTCATTCAGAGCTCCAAACGCTTTGAAAAACAGGAGCACAGGGTCGTTTGGGTAAGTTTTTAGAAAGCTCACAGCGCTGTTTACGGCCTGCCTGTAGAACCGCTCCCGCAGGAGATATATCAGAGAAGCCTGAAAGCACAAACCCAGCCATGACCATCGATAAAACTGCCCTGGGTTGTTCAGGAGTAATGTTATTATCATTCTAACATGTAACTCAACTAACTTAGCTCCGGAGACTGCGAGCTAGTTAGCTAACCTAGCTAGCTAACTAACGTAGACTATCGTTAGCATTACGATAGGCAGCACTTTCCAGCGCCAAGGTTAACGTTAGAATAAATAAATGCTGAAACTTACTAAACATGTCGGATGTGTTTCTGCCATGGTTTCTTCGTCTTCAGTGAGTACAGGGAGCAGGTAGAGCTCGTTCACTGGTAGGCAGTAAGTTTTGAGGTCTTCTCAGTAAAAGCAGAGATTTAGTACAGTAAAAAACTCAAGCGTCTTCGGTTGCTACGCAACACAAGACCACACCTGCTAACGAGCCTCAGACTCTCAGCTCTGAATCCCCTCAGAGTCTGAAAACACGAGACATCCAAACGACTATTACTGCAGTTAACGCCCTCAAAACATGCTGTACTTCAACGACACATAGTTCATATTATATTAACACAAAAACCTCCACTGGACATAAATAACTAAAGCCCATAATTCCAAAATTTGGAGAACCTGGGGCTCCAGGATGAAACTGATTATATTATCAGGTTTACACAATGTATAAGTATGCCCATGTTTTCCCTGCAGAAAAATGACCATTAGAACCGTTTGGCTTAAAACCTGATGCTTTTGCTTTTTAATGGGAATTGGCTTAATGTTTAGTTTCATGTAGGACACCTCTAGATCTCATTAGGACACCAGCAGCAGCATCTGGAATCAGTCCCAGAACACCTGTTACACCATTACAGTCCTTTACACTGTGACATCAATCCATCAGGACAACTCAATACACCATCACCGACTACTGGACACCAACAGAGATTTTTAATGGTGTCTAAAATTGTTTTTCAGCAGAGTTGATATGTTCATGGTTATTTGCAAGAAACAAAACCAGTCAAACATTTGGAAACATTTTAAATAGTGACAGTTAAGATGGAGAAGAGACCAAACGTTCATCTCAAATCAATCTTCTATTTCAGATTATTTTAGGAAGTGGCCCAAGTTCCACTTGTTTAATCAGCTTGTTTGAAATGATAACCTGAAGCCACACCAGCCCATTGGGGATATGATTGGACACCACTGGTGTGAAGCTCCAAGGTTATCATTTCAAACAAGCTGATTAAACAAGTGGAATCAGGTGTTCCTGCTTATTTGGAATGAAATCCTGGGGGTGTTTCACACATCTTAAGCCAAAAGTTGAGGATTGTCCAATAGGAGTGTTCCTTACCTCCTCTCCCATTAGACAGGCTTGTTTTTTGGCCTGAGATATCAGGCTTATTGAGAAATCCTGCTTTGTGAAATTCCCCACGCAGCCATGCTGGTGCTTTGTGAAAAAGACTGGACACCCCTGCTTTACAAACTCTTGATCTTTCTCTCAAGCACCTTTATAAGAAGCCACCTGAGATGCTTTACTAACATGACTGAAGAAGATACACAGATTCTGAGACATCTTGTTGCAGAAAATCAATTTTGGGGCTCATAAAAATTTTATATACACTATTGTATGCAAAAGTTTGAACACCCCTGGTCAAATGACCTTTGAATTTCTAAGTGAAAAAAGGTAACACATCCTCTACAGGAAAAAAAAATAAATAAAAATTGCCATTTTTCTGCACATTTTAGAGAACAATTTCTATTTATTTGCTGAGTTTAACATTGAAAAAACATTAAATATAAAATGTGCCATAAGTTTTGTGCCATATTTCATGTTTCATTTTTATTGTGAATAAAATGTGCAGAGATGTGTTCTCTTTAAAGGAAGTGTTAACTTATTATCAAAATCAACGAAACAGGTCATTTCACTTACAGACAACACACATGAACTTAACATGTGATTTCACACACCATGTTTTCATATGCATGCAAAAAATGTGTGGTCACACAGTATTCAAATGATTTTTCACGTAAATGTGAAATATACAAGACTTTTTTTTGGTAAGGGCTGACCAGGGGGCCTAAACTTTTGCATACAGCTGTATGCTCAAAAATAATTGTCACATGTATGATTTACTTTCTGACGCTTGCGCATCCTCTTACCTTAATGCAGCGTCCATCATTTAAGAACTGCATTGGTCTCTTCAGATGATGCTCAGTCAAATTGTCCTAGTGTTCCATCATATCTGTTGAACCAGTCACATACAGACACCCAATAGGTGTCATCCTGGAATATGGGAGCGTCAATGTTGTGGTAGAGGAAGTTATAGGAAGATTGGGCTAAAATGGACAGGAAGACTGGTGGACCTGTTGGGATTGGCATATATATTATCATGCACATTTTCATGTAAGCATAAGCCTTTAGATCAAAACATATTCAGTTTTAAATGGTAACAAAAAGCTTCGATGTATGCTTGTTTATTTATTTTATTTCTCATCTTGGACTAAAACCAAATATAGAATACATTTCTATAACACTGTGCAAACCTCAGTTATGATTGACAGTCTGCAAAGCACAATTCGTTTTTGCATAAATAAAAAATGAACTGAGTTTTGCCATCCAGTGATATCCCTTATTGATGATTCCTTACTTTTTGTTTGTCTCCAAAACCCTGTACAGTATATTCTGCCCTCTTGTGGGTGGCTAGGCTGTTAGCAGCAACTGTATAATAAGTGAAACCATATTCTCAACTGAACCTTCACGGTCACTGATTACTACAAATCTGGGACCAAATCCATCCGACCCGTTTTTGTCATATTTATCATATTTCACATGAAAAAGCACCTTTTTGAAGATAACATAATTGCTTAAAAAAGTAAATAAAAACATCCTGATTATCAAGGGAACAACTCAAGTAAAACCGCCTACAAAATAATTACAATCTATGTACAAAATGGTGGCATTAATGAATACAGCACAGCATTAGTGAGAGAGATGCATTACTTTTTGGGGCGAGTTAAGAAGCTTCACCAAAACCTCAGTGCATCTGTATACCTCCAAACCGAAGACATGGGAGTTAGTAAAAGCAGCACTCCTTTACATTCAACAAAATACTTAACAGTTTTAAACCAGGCCCAGACTGTTATCCGTTCATTTCGATTTACCTTCTTTTCTTCCTACATGCTACAAGAAGGATTTAGATGTCACTGGAAACAAACATCTCTGGAATGTACAATGGTGGGGGGGCAAATATATGTGAAATCTGTCACTCACACCACAAAAATGTTTTCTCCAACATAGTGTGTACCAAGACAAACAGTGTGCACAAAAGTCAAAAATCTAAAAATCTTAGTTACACATGAAACAAACAGTATATTAAATAATAAGCACAAGCTTCAAAAACAAACAAACAAAAAATTATCACACCACCCTTTCTGTTTCTTGTCAGTTGGCCATTCACAGCAGACGCCCTTATCCACAGACAGTTCTCCTCTTCCTGGTTACCATCCCACAGTCAGTTCACATCTGGCTGATCCAGTGAGCTCTATTTTGAGGAAATTTATGGACTGTGGAGATCTGGTGGGTTCAGAGGAACCTGTGGTGCAGGTGTGTTTTTGTGAGTCAGACTCCATAAAACGTTACACACTGAACCACTAGATGCATGAGTTTGGAGGTCCATGATGGTGTTCACAATGGGAAATGTGGACAGACGTGTGTAGGGGCTACACTCGTTTCCTCACGTGGACTTCTGCCTGTAGTGAAGTGTTAGATCACCACCGCTCTTCCAAATGAAATGCTTTACTGTTCGTAGGTCCATGTTGGGGTCCAGAACCTTTGAGGGAAAATTCAGAATAAATGTTAAAGAAATTCACAGCACAGCAAGTAGTTGACTCAAGGAACCTAGTAATAAAGATTCAAGACTGCAGGGTAAGATTTATAGAGAATAGTGAGGTAATCACAAAGTGGCAAGATGTTAACAATCAAAACGTAGAACAACCTCCCCCTTCACTTCATCTATATCAACAGTATTCTTGAAATTCTTGCTAGCTTGTGACATGAAAGAACTCATGTCGGTTCTGAAACATATACGAATGAAAAGTCATTCCAGAAAACCTGAAAAAGTCTTCGGACTGTCTTGCACATTGAAGGCCTGTGCTAAACCAGATCTTACGTAACCCCTGCCTGAAACAGCAAATAAAATCTTGACTTAAGCTGGATTTCAGGTTTTTCATGTTTGGACCTCAAATTGTGGTGGTGATACTGGGCTTTACCTGGTCTTGACAGAGCAGCTCAATCTTTTCCTCTGCTAGTACAGCCATGTCCTCCTCCTCCTTCTGCTCGCTCGGTTTCTCTCCGGCTGAGCCACCCGTCTGGGACTCGCTGTCCAGATTAATGATTTTCTCATAAACGTGTTCCATCACCTTCCTCACCTGGAGCATGTCACTTGCTGACAGACGGTCCCTAAACAAACAAAATGGAGCATTCCAAGACGCCAGTATCATGGCTTACATGAGTAAAATGTAAAATGTAATGTAATCCCCCACCCCTCACCATCCTTCTGTGTATATTTAGCTTTTTTTTTAGCTTTTTTTTAATTAAATGATACAATGAAGGTCTGCAATGAAAATCACATATTATGTAACATAATTCTGAGTAACATGATATTTTGACAACTCTCACTTTTTGTTTTGAAAGTTGTGACACATGGGTTTAAGGGTTTCTTTCTTTAAATGATGCACACAAAAGCGATTTGCATTCTAGCTCCCCCTGCTGAAGAAATTTTAGACTGCCACAGGTGGGTGAGTAACTGAGTGAGTTCCAAAACCACGCCTATGTGCGTCACAAAAAACGAGCCGTTTTCTGCCATCATAGAGGACTTGCTCTGGAATTCAGTTATAGATGTCTACGGGAAACCATAAGGCATTATATATTCATAACTTTACTTCTCATCCGAACTACTGGGACACTAAGCTGTACACAAAAAATGTGTAAAATTTTCCTCAGACGGTATGTCTCACTTTATGAAACCCCCCGTAGAGAAAGTGGAAAACTTTCTCTTATGTAGCCTAATGGCTTATCACTGCCTGATAATAATCCACTGTTTTAACAGTAAAAGGGGAAATAAAACATTGCATATACATTATTTACTACACTGTTTAAAATGAATTTAGTCCTCTTTAGTTCTGTCAGTTCTCTTGTCAATTGTGCATTGCAGCTGTAACTACTGGATAATGGAGATTATTATGCTTCATCAAGAGGTGTATGCTGGTCCTCCTCAATAGGCTTTTGGTACCAACAGGCTACAAAATACACAGGTTATGACTTCACTCATATTTGTGCATTATGATTATTAAAAATAGCTGCAAGACCAATTCAACGTATATGGTCATAGTGATTTCATAACCCAAACTAATACCAAAAAAAGTGGAAGTTCAGCTTGTGACCTACTTCTTTAATGTCTTGGCACCAGATGAAGAGTGAGGCTGGAGGTAGAACGGAATTTTGTTGAATTTGGGCATGTTTTTCTGTATAAAACAAACAAACCAGAATAATGGTTATATACGATTACATTTCAAAAACATTTTTATAAAAATAATTTGTTACAGCTAAATACCAAAATCTTCCTCTAATAACTGACTTTCAGTTGAAAATGGATACATTCATACTTGATCAAACAACCTTAAGACTAGCATTTGAACAGAACTGGCCTTGATGGCCCTGAGCACTTACGTCCACTGTGATGTCAATCACCCACTGCGGAACAGTCTCATTGAGTAGCATAGACTCAGTCTCGCCTCCAGAGTCTCGACACAATAACCTGCACACATTCAGTATATCATATAATAAGGTATATAATAATATATAAAAATGCTAGTTTTTCTCACACATTAAACTAATTCTTATTTGTGAAGCACGAATACTAAATCACACATGGCAACATACACACCTGAACAGTGTCCTCCCACCTGCTTCACCAAATATGACAGGAGTGTGGGGTGGCACTTGGAAATAACCATTTCCTTTCTGTATCCTGCTCTCATGCTCCCCATTCACTAAGGCAAGACAGACACATATCAAGTTTATATATATATCATGATGTTATATGAAGAAACAATCTGAAGACATGCTGCATGAAAACATCAGCAAAAAAGGAAGGTCAGGTCAATCAAGTCTCAGCAGCCTCTTACCATGGTTCAGTTCCGTTTCCTCATCCATAGGGCTGCTGTGTGTCCTGGGCCAATACTCCAGCAAGGCTTGTAGCAGAAGACCACCAAGATTCACTACAATATGCACAACAAGATTAAAATGCTATGCCATACCAATAATGACACAAACACTGCAGCTACATTGTTATCCATACTTTTTTTATCTATTTTGTTAATCACTGCACAGAGAAGCAGCCAGACAGTGTTGTGTTAAACTGTACAACCCTGTATTGGTATAATGACAAAGTTGAATTGAGTTAAATGCAGACAAAAGTATGGACTAAATTCAGGCTGTTACTGCTGTTTAGCTAAGTGATGTACTTTTTAATTTTTCTAGATTAAAAGAAAGTCATAAAGTTTCAAAAACTACTTGAGATTACATTTTGAGATACTTAACTCGACAAGGGATGAGGATGCAGTCTACACAATACTAATCAGCCTGACAGAAGCTTCCATAATAGGTTAGCTACTTTAGCATCATAGCTCCAGTACAAAACAAAAAAGCTTCATCAACTACTTAAAATAATATAAAACAGCGTTGTCAAATTATTGCTTTAACTTCGATTAGTTATATGCAAAAAAGGGTTTAAACAATGAACATTAAGGGACACTGCAGTACTGTAGTATTGAGCCTCAACACAGCAGCACTACATCAATATTGCCTTCCCCAGAGGAAATTATTTTCCCAGTCACGGTTCAAGTGAGCTACATTCCACAAGCACATTTGATTAAGGATTGTTTGCCATATTCACCATGAAAACTGACTGTAGGGAGGTAAACGATTAATGAATTAACTGCTAAATAGCAGATAAACAGATAAACAGTTGCTCAGTGCTATCGGTAAAAAAGTTAATTTTATCTAATTTCCAATAAACAACAACTCTAAAGGCGGATTAATCATTCAAGTGCAGCTAAAAATTGTGGGAGGACACTTTTCAAGAGGATGACAGCACAACTATAGTGATGTACCACATTGAAAGCAAAGATCCATAAGCTTTTAGAAAGACAACTATTTTGTCAATGTGGGAGGTGTAAGGAAATCACACATGGGTGTGCAAAATTATAGAGAAGGACGTAATGATCAACGACAACTGAGACAAAGCTAGCCATGGTATTTATGTTCCTTTTAACTTGAGCTAGTACTGCGTGATAAACACATTGACAGCTTCAGAATAGAGAATTTTCAGTAGAACATCATTATATATTCCAGTTAGTTAGTCAACTTTAGTTTTTAACTTGTATTAATACAGAATTCAGATGATGTGCGCACATATAACTTGGTGTACATCAAGTATTTCACAGCGGCTTTAACTGCGGCTTAGCCATTCAGAACTGGAACTATCAGTTTCATAAATTAAATTTTGATGGGCTGCGTCCTTGATTTTAGACTTGCCTATTAACAGTTAAGCATTGACTAGTGATGGGTGGTTATCGGTCAAAAGAATTTGCCAAAATGTGCACCCCTAATTGATATGCTAACTTTTTCACATCCCAAACATTAAATGAATCCCTCACTCATATCCATATTTAGACATAAGGATTCAGAGGTCACGGTCGGCAATACCTTGTTACATCTGCAACACAAGGGGGTTCCTTGGCCAGGAACACACAGAGATAATCAGGTAGATGGTGACTAATGACACATTTACACATGTTTGACTTCTCTGCACTTCTCAAATTACTTTTCACAGATGCTACTGCACTCACGCTTTGGGTCTGATCCATCAGGACTGGTGAATCCAGCATCCTTGGCTGAGACCCAAGCAGCAAAGCAGTCACTCTCATCCAGAGTAATAGTCAGCATCTGTCAACCACAGAAGAGATTTACATGATCAAAAGAGGCAATTAAACTAATGTGATACAGTAACAACCAATAAAGAGACTCAATACTTACGTTTGCATGAAATAACATCAGCATCATTAGACAAAGGTGAAATGTAACTGATCTGACTCACCCCTGTTTTAAGATCCACTGAGAACCAGTTAGGCACGTAAACCATCTTAAACCGTTTCTTGATTTCCTCATCAAACTCCATCTTGCCCAAATCTTCTACTTTACAAGCCTGCACAATGAGTACTGATGAGTAATCGAGTCACTTGACAAAAAAAAGGGAAAAAAGCAAACAAAACAACAAGAGTTCATACCTTGAGCACATCCCAGTATGCTATATTGTTGTTAGTGTCTTTGGTGAGTATGTGTCTCTTGTCATTGAGAATGTGGCACTGAATTATACTGGCCCCACCTAGAGAACACATAAAGGCATTGAAAGTGTGGACTACAATAATGATAATGCAAGCATATGCTTATTGTTATCATGATATTTTTCCTTTACAATATCACAGGCTGTGTTTACACGCAAAGATTTCTGCCAAGCCGACTGAATACATTCTGATTACAGATTAAGACTGAGGTGTTTATATGCTCATTCTATTCAATCTGATGGAAAATCTTTGTTTACATGCGCACTACAAGTAATCTGATCCAAAATGACGCGCATGCGTGGAGTACCTCTTGGAGTAAATGTTACCATGACAGCGAACATCACGTGAGGTCCAGTCAGAGTGAGAAGTGTTTTCAGTTGGGGCGCTTGCATTTTTAATTGCTTTAAAAATAAAGCAATTCAGACTCAGAAAAATGTACCTCACATGTACTTATTAAGGAAGCGGCGAGAGGAAGATGTCATGTTCTGAGACACATAAGCTGGACCCCCGTCCCACCGCCATCTTTTAAAGTTCAAAGCGTAAACGCCGTCTCCTCTGCAGACCAGTTTCTGCTCCCGCCATGTTGAACGTTATAAATTTTTGCCATGACACGAACGCACATGCGAGAACGTACTTACACGTTCCGATTGAGAATGTAATCTGATACAGGCGTTTACATGGCTATTATTCTTCTATTTAACAGATTATTTACAGGATTACCCACCTCGTTCAATCGAATAGAAATTGTATTCCGAATGGCCTCAATCGGAATAGACTATTCTGACTGAGACGTATACATGGACGTATTCTATTCCGATTGAGCTATTAGTCGGATTATTAACGGATTATTAGGGGGCATGTAAACGAGGCAACAGAGGGCTGCAGTATGTATATGAGTCTTTACCCAGTGATTTGGATGGATCAACTGAGATAATTTTTGGTCAAACTAATGCAGGACAGTCTATAATCACATCACATCACATCACATCACATCAAGAGTTCACCAGTGTATTTCAATAATATTGCAGGGCAAACCATAATTGCAGTATGTAGTAATACAAATCACAATTTGGTATTTAATCCATATCAAACAGTCCTAGTCCAAAATAATATTGACATTAATAATACTAAGAGCATTAATAATATTACATTTTATAGTATTATTTATATTTTTTGTGGTGTTTATCTAGTGTTTTGAATGATCTGAAGTTTTTAATGGTTGTAGTTAAAGGTCCAGCAAAAAATACAATTATAATAACCAACACGAGAGAATATAAAGGCAAGAAACAATGGCATCACTTGTGTTGAGTAATGGCAGAAGATGAATATCATGAAGATAAAAACATGCAGTTTGGGCTAGTGACTTCACATGGGCCCCAAAGGGTGATTTCTAGCAAGTAGCTCATTTGCACACCATCTGTCAGTAGCATAATTGGACATTCTTCAGATGAGTTTTTGAGATGATTTTTTGGGTATTACTAACAGTTTTCTTTTAAAGAACACTGATGCATTCTGTCACTCAAAAAATCTTTCACTTCAGTATTTAAAAACAGTCTAAAAATGATGTAAAAAAACGTCATGCCATGATTAAGAAGCCCACAACCTAAAAGTAAAGGTGCTTAACTCCGTTCCTGGCATCACCTGGTAAAAGAAGCCAAATGAGGTGCCAACAAACCATTCTGGGCCTTCAGGACTGGAACTGGGTGTACATTCTCCCATTAATCAACTTCAATACCTTAGACAGGTCAACAGCTTGGGCAGATGTGTTACATGTTCCCAATGCCTTCACTAAAACACTAAATTCACTTTCAATATTAGATCAAATACTATATACCAGAATGTATCATGGACCCAGGGCCAGCATATCAGCAGACTCAGGGCCAATGTCAGTATTTAACCATAAATCACTAAAGAGCAGAAATGCTTACTGCACCTCTAGGGAAATGCTTACCTTTAATGACTTGGTCTGGTTGTGTGCACAGTGGTGTCAGAGGAGTGCTGCAGTCGTTGTCATAGTCACCAGATGTTCGGAAATTATGGATGCCCTTTAGAGACTGCAAGGTAATGGAATGGAAGAGATTTAATGGAAGGTGACACTGAAACAATGTTAATCAGATCTCAGAAGTACATTATGCTGAGTATCAAGCTTTTGGCATCCAAGTTCAGAAACTGTTAACAGGATGGCAGAAAACTGCACATTATTACTGTTAATATTTAGTGCCAGATAATAAGAGACTTGAGCTTATTAAATACAGTCCAGTCACAGTGCACAAGGTAACACAGTGCACTAGTGATAACATTCGAACCAGCAGCACTTTGAAAATAAAAGAAAAGGTAAAAGAATCATTAAAGCTTAGCTGGTTAAGTCTATATGATACGTCAGGGAACAGCTGGGGCAGGTGGCTGCTCCGATAACGTCACTGTGGAAAGCAGCTGTACTCACCCATTTGTTAACGGTGGACTTTGTGGTGGACACCCAGATGGCTGACGGTGGGTCCGCTGACCTGTCCAGCTCCATCTGTCCAAGGCCAAACATACATTCAGCAATTTTACTTTCTTTCCACTCAGGTATGGTTCTTCAAACCACTCTCTAATCAGTTTTCTCACCACAGCTGTTTTCTACTGCTTTACTAACTGGTTTCTTTCATTGTGGTCGTTAATTTAATATTAAGAGGCTCTCTTAAAAGCACTGGAGTGCACTGACAAAAAATAGTTTTAATGGATTTTTTCCTGAACAATACTGATGTGCAATGATCCTGTTGATTTGGTCATCTTAAACAAAGAAGCCTGCATCAAACTGAACCTCCTCAAAAAGTACAATGTCTGTACTAGGGCCAACCGGTACAAGAACTATGATTCTGATACTGATTTTAAGGAGCTAAAAATTCAAATAACTGAAAAAAAGCCACCAACATAATTGTATATGGCCAAAACTGAAACAGACTGCAACAACTTTATACATGTCATGATGTCAGTTGTCAATGGCAAACTATCAAATCATCATTTCTTAATTGCCCCATATCTTAAACTCAAACAGAGGAAACTCACAAAGTCTTAAACCTTCCAGTGTTGCGTTCTTTCTTACCTTGAGGACGGGGGCCTTCTCTTCACAAATAAGAACACGTATGTCTGGATTGCGCAGGTCTGTGCAGTAAATTTTGCGGTCCCGGCCTCCAGAATAGACATGCGTGAAGGCTTCATTAACTTGTAGAGCCCAGACACCTTCATCGTGGACACGGTATGTGGCTATGCACCTCTGCTGGCCGAGTGACCACAGCCGAATAGTCCCATCTGAACTGCCTGACAGACACTAAACAGAAGAGGGGAACCCATAGCATAGCAGGTGAATATAAGTACTGTAAATATGATCAGTTTTATTATATTTGACTGCATTTCAATGCATTGAGAAAACAGAATCTCTTTAGAATACATTAACTCTGAAAAATATAATTCCTGCGTATCGCTTCTTGAAGCTGTTTATCGTATTCAAAACTGCATCAACTTTTGCAGTGTTGTATTCCTGTGTCTACGTGTAAATTCCAATTAAATAATGAACCATCATGTTTCACCTGGGTACCATCTCTGTTGAGTAGCAATGATTTGACATTGTCTGTGTGTCCTTTCAGCTTCATAAGTTTGGCACAGGTACGTGGGTCCCACACTCTTAACACCTGGGACATCAAAAAAAACATATACAACCTAATGGAACTAATGCTCACATAAACATGAATTATTAAATGACTTATTGTGTTCACAACAATGAATTAAAATTTTCACGTTGAAAGGGAAAACAGTAGCAAACCTTCTCAGTGGATCCAGATACTATTACTGTGCCCATCTGATTCATAGCCAGACTGTAGATTGAATCTTTGTTCCCACTAAGAGAGGATGCTACAGGATAAGAGGAAGCAATAGTTAAAACCACAGTTCTGCACAAAAGTCAGAGACCAGCCTTCATTTTTTATTTTCAGTCAAAATGGCCAATAAGCACAAACTGTTCGTTTCTAGGAGATATTTCTGAGGAGATTAGATATGAAGTAATCCAAGAAGGAGGAAAAAAAATCAAACAGAAAAAAATATTAAAACAAAAAACAAAAAAAATATTCTCCTAAAAACCACAGAAGACCTGGAAGACCTTCCATCCTTTCACTGTGAGAAGAGGACTCAACACTATGAGTCTGAAAGTATGTGTAGATGTCAAGAGCCATTATGGACAAAAGCAAACAGACAAAAATCAAGAACATCTGCAAATCAAATAAAGAAGCTGCTGGTGTTCTCAGAACAATAAACTGACCACCCCAGAGTCCAGACCTCAACATTACTGAATGTGTTTGGGATTACGTGGATTGTGAGAAGAAGAACAGACAACAAACATCTAAGACTGAACTTTGTAGGTGTGGAAAAATATGCCTGCAGATTTCTTTTTTAAAAATTTAAAGCAAGTCTAACAAAAAATGGAAGCTGTTATAAAGTCAAAGGGAGAAAACTAATCTTTATATATTATGTATTTGAGTGTTAAGGCGTGTGTGTAATTTTCTGTCAAATATTTGTTTTCTGCTTTTTTTCCTGAAAAATAAATAACTTGTACTTAATGGATATTTTCACTGGAAACTAAATAAATAAAGGGTGGCCTCTGACTTTTGCATAGGAAGATATAAACATCAGTGATAATATTCCGTTACGGTACAAGAGACACAAAATTAGTCATTTTAGTAGTTTTACTTCAGTGCACTATAACATTTAATAAAAAGATCAAACATGCTTCTTTCTACACTGAGCTCTTCAGTAGAATGCTACAAGGGCTCTGAGTCCAGGGACTGTATCGGACCAATGCATATTACAACACTGAATACTGTAAGAATCTTATGCAATAATAGACAGCTTTGATGGACATTAACAGGTTGATTGCAGTTAGAAGAGGGAACACTTGTGCAACTGAGGAAGTAATAGTGTTTACTTAAACTAGGTCTCTCACTTCGGATATGTTAGCACTTTCATGACAACTCTGAAGTGCTTCAATTGTGAAAACTACTATGTGGACAGTACTTACTAGTGACAGTGTTATTGGAGGCAGTCAGCGCCGTCAGGGTGTTCACATCCCACAAGAAGATCTGTCTGTCCAGACCCGCTGAGGCCACCAACTCTTTGTCTTTAGCATATGCTAAGGCTTTAACATAATCCTATGAGAGGAAAATCATCACTACATCACTACACAATAAAAGTATGTACAAGGTATATAAAAACAAATAAGGTGAGTGCAAAAAACAGTCTCAGTGCAATTACCTTGTGTGTTCGCAATGTCGACATACAAAATCCCTTGTGTGCATTCCAGACTTTCACCGTGGTGTCTGATGAAGCAGATATCACTGTGAAATAAGTAGAATGACAACAGATTTCCATTATTTCTGTATATGGCTAAGAGATGTAGCCTTTCTGTTTTGTTGGGACACATGATGATATCGAATCATATCAGTATTGGCAGAAATGTGCTTAAACATTGATTTAACTGATATTGCACATTGATGTTCGATGATGTATTTATTGTACTCTGAAAGAGCAGAAGGTATGGACACTGGCCAACTGTGCTAAAATGTCTGCTTTATTCATTTTACTGCATATGTAATCCTCTACAAATGAGTATTATATTTCTCTGTAATGCAAATCCAGGAACATTTAGCACCAGTTTCTACATTCTATAAATGTTTATATTTTAGCATCAGCACATATGTACATGAAAAATAATGGATACTGGCCCACAATTCCCATAATCAGTGCACCTCTCAATTCCACAGTGCAAGATTTGGTTTGTAAGGATGAAAATAAGGCTTTGTTCACACAGCAGGTAAAAGTGGCCCAAACCCGATCTTTTTCTTCCTATGTGACACAGATGTGTTATCTGTGTGGCAGTGTGAACAGCACAAAATGCACAGAGTCTGACATTTTCAATTCCGATTTGAGTCACTTTCATATGTGGTACTGAAATCCGATACGTGACAATTCCAGATTGGAATTAATTCGACTTTTACGTCAATCCCACTCAAAATTTGTCATAATTTCGTGCTGCAGAGACCTCAAACACTGGGAGTAATGTTTCTGTACAAACAAAATTAGAAGACACGTATACAAACTGCTCTGTGTTCAAAGAGCAAGGCTGCAGTATCAAAGGAAAGTAAAAACGTCTGGAAGCAAAGTGGTCGAATAACGCGTCCTTTTTACAGCAATTTGAACGCATTCTGGGTAATGAGCTGAACGGTCAGGCATGAGAACTTCTTATGAGCTCCTGTGATGCTGGTGAAGATGAAACAGAAACCTCCCAGAGAGGCTATTACTGTTGACTCCACTGTTTAGCTCTGGATGCCGTGCCATGTGAAGCATTGTTCTTTTATGCGTGTGGGTCAGTTTGGGAGTGTGATCTGTTTAGATTAATGTCAGATATAGGTCACATTTAAAAGATACTGTGAACAGCCTCACAAAAAAATCTGATTTTATGAGAAAATTAGATTTGGGCCATTTTAACTGCTGTGTGAACGTAGCCTAAGCGGCAGCCCCACATGAAAGAGGTTTTATGAACATCTCATCATACAGTACAAAAAAATGTGGTCCTCTCAAAACAATGTGCATACATGTGTGAGATTTTCATTCATTGTGTTCATTCATGCTCTGTACATTTAAGAGCTCATACAATAAATGTATATATTTCCCAGATACCGTGTAATCAATCTGTTTGTATTTGAATGTGGACTTTACTGATATATGTAAAAATAAATAAAAATGTATTACCAGAAAAAAAAAACAGGAATTCTCAAGACAGCTACGGTTCTAAAGTCATACTCACATGTTTTTCCATTGCAGCAGAGGACAATGTCATTGACCCAGTCTGTGTGATGTTCCATTGATGCTATGTATGGGTCCTGCTGTAAACCAGAAGCACAACAGCTGTAACATGAGTTTACACGCCAACCTCAATTGCAATTTACACATAATTGTCCATTTCTACACAACATTACACACTCCCATTTAGCAATGGGTGTGTTTTCATTACAGTAAAAACTACACCCCAAATCAAACTCTTCCACAGTCAGTTCTTACATGTCTTACATCAGTTGCCTATTTCATGTTCGTGCAGATAGCAGTGTTGCAGAATGACTAACTAGCTCATTGCGTGACTGACTGATACCTTGTGCTGGTTGACACTCCATATCCTGATAATGGAATCTCGACCAGCCGTGAAGAGCCGGTTAAGGGCTGGGTCCAGCTGCAGCGCATTAACTCCATTACGATTGTACTTCTCCACTTCATCCCTGATCACATACGAGACCTGGATCACACAGACAATGAGATATTCTGAACAGTGTTTGAAAGCAAGCGGGTTTATTTTAGGTATGCACGGATCATGATTTTGCAAGCTACAGGTAACAAAGACAGTGACAATGTTTATTTGTTCTCCACCCATAGTTTCACTCTGCAGACTGAATGAATGTGCTGATATGAAACATATTCGCTGGTGGCTGGGCCTAACCAATGTAAAACAAGTTTTCGGCTGGCTCACATTATTTTTGTCATAAAATGACACAAATTAGGCAATTACAAATAAATACAATCTGGCACCTCTAATTTACTTTCCAACCTTTTCTGCCCACAAAGCACCTCAAATGAGTCAAATAAATCCAGTAGCAGCACTGTAGTTCTTCACCTCAAAGCAGCACACCTGGCACTCACCACAGGGCACTTCAAAGGCACTTAAGTGTTTTATTTCTATTCAACATACAAAAAGCTAGTATGTGTCAGCTCTAGGATGTTTGTATTTTTGGCATGTATGTTTTCAAAGAATCATGAGAGTTAAAAAGAGGCAAAACAGTCAGCGGCCACAAAACAGGTCACAATAACGGAAAAATCTATTTATTCTGTACGTCAAGGTAAACCGTTTTGAAAATCATGACAGAATAAGCCAAACATTCAACAAGAACAGACAGATACTTAACAGGAGAGTTATTAAAAACTATGACCTTGCCTCTATGAACCCGCCCCAATAAAAACTGTACGCCCTTCACTTCACGATCGCGGAATTTATGACAGAGCTGCTCTTAGCTAACCACTCACATCCAAGGCCACCGCACAAAGTCACATAAGCTGGTGTAATAAGCACAAAATGTGGATCTCTGAGCAAAGGGAAAACGTAACCTCATATGATCTGATGAGTCAACTTGCAAGAGCTATGAGATTATTTTTACAGGGCAAGGTACACCCTATGACGTCATCCCCGCTCCCTCCCTCAATATTCTCATGTTCCAAGATGGTAATGAACCCACCCATATTGATAAACTCAAGTATGATTAAACAAACACTAGAATAAAGTCAAACGCTTTTCCAACTGGCACAGCCTAATCTTGATGGGGGTGAGGCTTAGGGGACCATGCATATGCAAACCAGAGGAACAAAACAGTAGTCAATAATCTATTTCATATCCTTCCTACCTGAATGCATAATCCCTTAACAGACATATGGACACAATAAACTCAAAACATTGTAAATTATGACAAAGTAGAGGTCTTTATTTGTCATCTATGCCAATACAGCTGTGTTTTCTAATAAGGTCACTTTTTTGGTGTCTTATTTATTTTCTTTGTTTTAAATTCACAACAGAATGCTGTTTTTTTGCTGGCTTTACTCTGGAAGAGGCAACTATGGTTATCACTACAGGGTACTTCACAGCACTGACCCATTATTTGACTTATAAGAATAGCATAAACCTTTCAGAAGCCATATTAGAAACACCTTTAAAGGGTTCTTTGAAGAACCTTACACAACAGGTAAAGATTTAACCAGGCAAAGAACATAAGCACGCTCACATACGTACATACATACACCGATCAGGCATAACATTATGACCACCTCCTTGTTTTTGCGCTCATTGTCCATTTTATCAGCTCCACTTTCTATATAAGTGCACTTTGTAGTTCTACAATTACAGACTGTAGTCCATCTGGTTCTCTACATACTTTGTTAGCCCCCTTTTACCCTGTTCTTCAGTGGTCAGGACCCCCATCTCAGCACTGCAGTAACATATGTATGTTATGTTTACATACATACATACATACATACATACATACATGTTAGGGGTGCAGGAAAAAATCGGTTCTTAGATGCATCACGATGTGGACGTGAACGATTCTGAATTGATTCACAAATGTCAAAAACCGATTTTCTAAATATTTAATTTATAACATAATGTTGACGGAACGCAAAAGGCGGAACTTGGAAGTGCGGAAGTGCAGCGCCGGACAGTCTGTGGCGGCACATAACAAAAACACTACTGGATGAGCGAGAAATCCGACCGGCTCCCTCTGCATTAAAAGCCAGGTTAGATCAGGAGTCACAACCCCAATCATAAGAAGAGCCATTTTGTCCTTTCAGCAAAAATCAAACCACCTTGGGAGCCACAACATTTAATGTCCAGTATGTCTCAGTAGGTGTTAATGTCCTAGTATAGGCTAAACAATATAAACGAAAACGCAGATTTACTCTGCTGTGCTTTAAGCTTTAACTATAGCCGCTTTTCTTCCATCTCCGCCAGAAAACCTTTCCTCAGAAGTTGATCAGTTAAATGTCTCTCAACGTTCGACTGTTTTCCGAGGCTGAAGTCGCTTCTTATTCTTCAGCTTCTTGTTCGAATTTACCCGTTCCACCTTAAACTCTAACTGAGGCGCCACATGTAAATGCAGCACCATTTAAGGTGGAACGGGAGAATTCGAAAGAGAAGCGACTTCAGCTTCGCCACTTTTTAGTGTGTGACAGTCTCTCGTTGCAGATTTAACGTACCAGGAAACCAACTGCGCTGCTTATAAATGGGAATAACGCATCGCTGCTATGTGACCTGCAGTCTGCATGCCGGTCCTCAGTCGTTGCGAAACAGGGCTTTTGCGCTATGTTGCACACGACCCGTCTCAAAGATACTTTACTGACACAGCGATCCCCCCGTCTCTACAACGAGACCAAAACCGAAGTTATGAAATCACTAAAGAAAACGGGTAGAATAGCTGTAACATGTGCTGCGTGGACATCCACTGCCACTGGGTCTTATTTCACCGTAACTGCGCATTTTATCGCAGATGAGTAGCAGCAGCTTCTCGTGCTCCAAACAAGAGCACTGAATGAGAGCCGTCTAGTTCACTTACCACATTACTCCCATTTGTTTTATTAAAAAAGATATTGGAAGTAAATTCATTATGGATCATTACAAATACTTTGCTTTAAAAGTACAAAGTCACTTTAAATAACAATAACACCGAGTCACTTAGTCACTTTAAAATGTATATTGTCTCTATATTCTGTGTATATTTTGTGTAGATTAAATATATTTCAGTTGGTTTTTCTTGTATTTTTATTTTTACTTATTTACTTTCTGTAGAGTGATTAGCTGAGCCTCTCCACAAGCATTTCAATGCATAAATGTCCTGACATGTTGTGCAAATGACAAATAAACTTGAAACTTGAGCTCACACAGTGAGAAAATATAAATGCTATATAGAAAAAAAAGATGCATCGAGATGCATCGATAATCGTTTTATAATCACATCGCAGCCCTCTGAATCGTAATCGAATCGAATCGTGAGGTACCTAGAGATTCCCATATATGCATATATAAGTGTCTGTTCACTGCTAAGTGTGAACAGGCAGTCTGTAAAGAAAACCTAATACTGGACAGCCACACAGCTGCACCGTTTCCCCCTCTGCTCGTTAGCTGAATTAGCTGAGTTAACGTTAGCCTATATTAGAGCAGGGAGATCTGCTCCGTGTCGTGCTCCTCTCAGCCTTCCTCTTGCTCTAAAGCCAAACAGGAGAAAAACGAACCATCCGAGTTAAGTTTTTAACATATATTGCTGTTAAAAAGGCAACATAGTGGCGCAAAACGAGAAACCTTTCTAAAAAACCCAATCACTTATAACGCAACATACAGTAGCTTATACACCACCCAGAGAGCAGCCTGAGACGAGCCGGGGTGGGTGGGGGCGTGGAGGAGACACTGGAGCTCACCAGCCTCACCAGCAAAGCCCAGCCCAGCCCAGCCGAACACACATGACATTAGAGCACTTCCACAGCACCCAGACAGTACTGCCACCACAGAGTCAGCGACACCCCTCTACACATCATTACAGTAAAGTCTGCTGTGTTTAAAGGCAGCGAGATAAGTCAGAGCACCCAGCGTCAGTCGTGCTAGCCCGTTAGCTCAGTGAGCTAAACGCCTGAGCAGCGGCTCAGCCCTCTGCTCTCCACACACACACACACACACACACAAACAGTGCTTTAATGACACATGCGAGACGGACACAGAAGCTGCACAGAGAGGCGGCTGAGCGCACCTCGCCAGCGGGTGCTCTGTGTGAGGGAGAGGGAGAGGTGAGAGAGTGTAAATGTACCTGCACTTTTCTCCGCCCAGCTGCGTTCTGCCTGTGATGGGTCGCCATCTTACATGTTGACAGCGTGACGTCACGTCCGTGCAGCGGAAAAAGAGCGGGCACGGTCCGATCAGGGGGCAATTCATTTAGCACGGGTTAACTTTAGACCCTTACACGTTTCACATTCATTTGTCCTGTTTGAGTCTGGTCGGGGACAATTAATTTAGCACTATATATACTCCCTTTTATTTTACATTTATTTACAGTTTACATTTATTTGCCTCGTTAGATTATTAGGGGGCAATTTATGGAGCATGGTTTAACTTCAGGCACACTTGTTTTACATTCAGATGCCCTGTTTGTGTCTGATCAGGGGGCAGTTAATTTGGCCTGGTTTACCTTTTTTGTTTACATCTTCTTGTTTTACAATAATTTACACTGTTTAAGTCTGATCAGGGGGTGAATCACTTAGCATGGATTAACTTTATTTTCTACACTTAGGCCTATATGCTTTATATTTTACAATGATTTAGTTCTGAGCTACCATCAAACTTGCCTTGTGGTTTTCTAAATGGCAGAATACATCAGAAAACTATTAGAAGGGTCAGAGAAGTTGGCATAAGTGAGTTTTTGTTTGCATCTTTTTAAATAGACAGGAATAACACCTTTATAATTTTGTTAAACATTTGTAAAGGTATAAAATAAAACAGCAAAATTAAATTAGAATTAAAATGTATACAATTCCAAGTGCCATTCAATACAACAGGAATATAATTTGGCAGCCTTTCACAAACAATGCTCCACTGAATGACTAGAGGCTATCAAGAAATGTAGATTATACATAATGTAGCACTGGCGCAAAAGAAGAACATTGCGTTGTCAGCTCATTCATTTAACAGGCACTTCAACAACAAGCCTTTACAAAGACCTAGAAATACCCAGCCCAGCATTACCCCAACACGAAACGCAGGGAGGGGGTCACGCAGGGGGACACGACATTCGAGGAGGGCAGAAACCTCCAACCACTAGTTAACTGCAAAGACCACCGTCCTTAGACATAATTACTCCAATAGACACAACTACCACTAAACCACACATCAAAAACAACAATAGTCCATTTTTACACCAGGAGGGCGGCGCATCCCAAGAGCGACTTTGCATGGCCACAACCTCTAAGCCCCCACAGAAGCATGGCCTGTGGCAGACACCACACAGTGCCCTCCTCAAAGGTCAGCATCGCAGCAACCCATGCAAAGTCTCTGGAGACTTTGTTTGGGACCTCTCAGGGGGCCATGTATTTGGAGCAGCAGCTCCTCAGCATATCTAGCTCTGGGTGCAATGTCCTGCACTGACCCTAGCAGGCAGCCGAACACCAGCTCAGTGGGTATCCTCTGCATTGGTGCACCAGAGTGGAGATGATGAGCGGGGTATGTGAAATGTGTGCCCAAGAGAGCTCTGCGTCCTCCTCCTGGGTGCGGTGCCACACCAGCTGCTCAAGCAGCTCAAGCTGCTGCTTGACTTCTTCCAGTTTGCCGACTGTTTCCCACTTCTGACACCAGTGGTGCAGAAGAAGACATGGAAAACACTGCATGTACGGGCAAATGCTCTTTTATTTAACAGGCACTTCAACAATGAGCCACACAGTGAGGGGGTAACACGGGAGGACATAACATTCGACAAGGGTAAATTTTCCAACCACTAGTTAATTGCAAAGCCCATCCTCGTTGGACACAATTACTCCAATAAACACAACTACCACTAAACCCACAACAACAGTTAGTTTTTTGTGTGGCACATCTCAAGAGCTACTTTGCATGGCTACATATTGTAAGCTTCCCTGGCAGCGCAGGCTGTGCCGGATGGCATAATATGGTTTTGTATTAGTGCTTTTTTGTGCTTTTTTCTTTCTAGGATTAGCCACAGAAAGGACCACATGGAGTGAAGAGAAAAAAATTCACACTGATGAAAAGCAAATTGCAAAGGAGAACATAACAGATTCCCCAATGTCATATTACTTGCTTTATTACTTGCCATTTAAAAATGACTTCATCCTTATAGATCTTATAGCCTTTCAGAGACATAACATATCCAGGATTTCAAATTGATTCCACAACTGAAAAATGAACAAGATTTTCATTAATGTCAGTTATAGTGCCATCTATTGGCACCATCAAAGATCCATCAAAATGTGCTCTGCCACTAAATGCTCTAGAAATAAATGATAGGCCTATTATAGAGGCTTAAAATGCAGTACATTTTGTTGGAAATGAACAATTTCCATTATCTCAGTATAACTTCTTAATGAGACACTATTCTGAAGATGTGGTGGCTTTGCATCTTACAGCTTGTACCTTCAGCTTTAAGCCAGAGAAATAATGTAAAGCAACCTTCAGAATAACATAATTAGGGCTGTTTGAAGTACTGCAGGGGTTCTTGTTGCCTACATTTCATTACAAGCATGCTGTATTTTGGTAACCTAGTTTGTTTTAGTATCATTTGATCTGTTAAAGAGCTGACAAATATGCTCCATAAACCAATGTAGTGAAACTCCACATGCAAACGTAGCAAGACTTCCCTGGTATTGTTTAAAACTGCTGTCATGGCAATATAGAAGTACATCTAGAAACCTTGTTGAACAATTCATGGTAAAATGCAAGCCTTCTGCAAAAAATGTTAAACTATAATCAGAGACTGATCTCAGCCACTTTGCGACATCCTGCAGCTCACACTAAATTAAAAATATGTGACAACCATTCCTCTGAGGTATGTGTTTCTCCACCTTCAGTATCACAGTTATTGAACTTTTTTATATCATGGCTGTTATAACAAAACTTTCAAAGGGGAAAAAGTGGTCCTAACTTTAATAAACATTAAGATAAAAGATTTTAATTATCTGGAGTTGATATGACAGTGAAAATATATAACATAAGGGATTTCTCTGACATCCCTCAGGTCAAGTATTTCCCTGACTGGAAAAGGCTTAAAGGGGAAGATTTTTCAGATTTTTTCAAAATTTCTTCATAATTCAACCATTGAAACGTATACAAAGTCTTTTGATTTGAAAAGGTGCATTGTAAAGAGACTTACTGACAATAATGCTTATAGGTACCATGGGTCAATACAAATATTCCATTTTATTTACTATCCAAAACAAACCTACATGTTATGAATGTATTTTTAAAAACACATTTAAGATCAAAACCTTAACTCAAAACTGTCATAAAACAATGTCTCAGCTATCAGGCAGCATACTTGTAGGTATTTCATATGTTGGGGAGCTTTTAGAGGCATTAAATGCTTCAAACATCTGGTTTCTATCACTACCACTTTTACCACAATTCTGGCTTGTTAAGTTTCTTAATGACATTTATATCATAATACTTTAATTATCCAGAAATGTTGAAAAATCCATCGAATTCCCCTTTAAACTCCTAAATTACCTGAGATTATCAGGATATCAGTGGTCTGTAATCCTTGTTTAAGTAGTTTAAAATCACTAAGAGTAGGACCAGAATTAAAAATGTAAACCTTGTTGGAGGGTTAATCTTAGAATTCTTTTGATTTAATGCAACTGAGAATTAGGTAGCTAGGTTACTTATTTGTGGTCTGGAACCTACTTTCATACTGCCTTCCTCTTCTTCTATTTTTGAATCTCTTTCCCTTGTTCTGGTATACAGTAGTTGATGTAAAAAAAGCAGGTAGTGCCCGGTCCTGCTCCTGGAGATCTACTGCCCTACATAGTTCAGTTCCTCCCCTAATCTAACACTGCTTGAAAAAATATACTCAGATGCTTAGATGCTTGTGTCTCCTGAACTGCTTAATTAGGTTATCCGGGTGTGTTAGATGTGGGTCGCTACTAATTTCTGCAGGGAGGTAGATCTTCAGGGCTGGACACAAACGCCCTGATTTCTAGGTTCTCATCCCACTCTTAAAGGGGAAGTCCCACAGATTTAAAAAAAAATCTGCATAATGAAATTGTTAAGATGTAAACAAAGTCATTGGGTCTCATTCAAGTAATCAAGTAATTCAAGTAATTTCTTCTTAAAATCCATTTACACAGTTTTTACAAAGATTCACCAGTGTTTTTCTTGCCAGGGTAATATTTTTTGGTAAGGTTTTGGCCTAAAGCCTGTTTTCTAAAAGCCATTCATGGCGGAGTGATTCATATAGGCCCTTGTAAGGCAAAATAGTACCTTAAAGAAGAACACTTATTTTTCTGATTTACTACTAATTTACCATTATTAGTGTTACATATTGTCACAACCCGCTATTAGCTGGTGCTGACCTCTAGCAGCCTGTGAGGCGTGGCAATGCCAGGAGGATCAGGGGATCTCCGGAAAGGGGACTGCTTGTGTTGTTTATGTTGTTCATTGATTTCAGGTATGTGTATGGGTTTATTGTGTTATTCTGTGTTGGGGGATGTGGGTTGTTAGTGTGTTGTGTGTGTGTGTGTGTGTGTGTGTGTGTGTGAGGGGTGGTCACTGTGAGGGTGAAGTGTATAGCTGGTGGTGGCCTCCCCATGTGTGCAGTGCTTTGAATATGCCTTTCTGCCCTGGTGTTTAATAAAGAACACTTTTTGTGGTGGAATCATGGCCTCCAGAGTCTGAATCCACACCAATGCTACAATATAAAAACTCAAAAGACACATGTAAGTTCAGTAGTTATTTTGATTAACAAATAAAATATCTATATTTGTGTGTCTATCTAGTTTGTATCATCACCATTGTGAGTTTATAATGCAAACTTTCACATCAAACCACTCTGAATGACTCTCTTTGCATCTCAACGACTGAATTATATCATAACCACATTGTAGAGGGATATAAAATGCTGAGATGTGCTCAGTGCTGAAATCGAACAAAATGCATACTGAAGTAACGGCTTTCAGTAACTCTACTGAGAGCGTTCAACGGTGTTATTAATAGGTTATTAGGATACATTTTATGAGAACTCATAAAACAGTGTGTTTGTAGGAGTTACCGAGGCCATTTCTATCTAATATCATGAGCCAGACGGTCATAAGGCTAATTCAGTGCATCACCTGCACGCCAGCAGCTCCTCGGTCGACAGAGGGGGTTGCAGGTTCA